ACTCCCAAGACACAGCAGAGAGCTAGACAGGAAGAGGAGCAACCAGGAGAGAATCCGGCGTCCAGACCGGGACTAGAACCCGGTGTGCTGGCGCCTCAGGTGGAGGATTAGCCTATTGAGCCACAGTGCTGGCCAACAAGTAGCATCTTAACCACTGTGCCAAATGCCTGCTGGCAGCTATACTTTTAATGTTTTAACTAAATTCTATCCTCAAAGTAGATGTAATAAGATATAATAAAAGAGAGGGAAAGTATATTTATCATGCTTGTATTTTTATGAGAAAATGTGACAGAAAAATATTTTTAGGACAAAAACAGTTGTAATTTTAAACTGAATAATTGGAAATAAAGTTTATTTGCTAAAATTAACATTTCTTCATTAGCAGGAAGTATACTTTGTCAAACTAGAACCAATATACCATGATAGCTTTTATTTACCATTTGTTTAAAATTATCTGCCTGAATAGATTCAGTGATTGCTTTGATGTAGTCTAAATCTCCTGTTATAACTGATATTCCATATCTTATGCTGATCATTCTACTTTCTTTCTCAAGTTTCTTCAGCTTCCCTGCATAGTCACATGTTTTACTCCTTCCCAATGTTCTCTTACCTCTTTAAACACAAAACGATCTCCATCTACTCATCAATTTACAAAAACTCTTCATATCTTTTTTTTTTTACTTTTCTGCTAATGCCAGTATACAAATGATATGGAATACATATTTCACTAAATACAGAAATAGCTATGCATCTTTTCCTCAAATAGAGCCATCTGAGAAATGCTTGATATTAATATCAAATATTTGATACAATATCAATATTACAGCTTCTCATTCTTTGGCTTTGTCCTTCTAATCTGTTGATTCTGATAATTTCCTAATCTCTTTTTTTTTTTCAGAGCAAAGGAAAGGTATAAAAACAGTTTTGGAGGTTTAATTAAGACCTTCTCAAAAAGCAAGGGAAACTTTTTCCTCTACTTTGCCTGATCACAGAACCATTCTAAGTATTTTCTGCCAATTTTATAGTCCTGTCTACATTGTTTCTACCATTTTTTACATGTACACATATCTTTAACAGATGTGTATGATAGAGCTACTTTCCTGTCAAATAACTTTATTCTTATCTAAATGTCATTTTCAGATTAATGTGTTAAAATAACTACACAGTTTTTTTTAACATGTATTTTAACACATACCATACACACACACACATAGGTGTACATGGAGAGAGAGAAAAAGGAGCTTTAGCGGGGGCGGGGAGGGCAAGGTGGAGAAGGCCCAGATAGCTCAATATTCAGGAAAAGATATATGGATATTGCTATATTTAACAAAATTTATAAAATAAAAATAGCTGTTATGATTTCCTCAGATAAAAATAGCTGTTATGATTTCCTCAGATCTCTTTCAACCTTAATACAGTTTGATTATATAGAAGTACTTTACCTAAGAAATTACCTTTGTATACTAGCTAGTGCACAAAGTGGGCACTTTACTTTTAGCTATTCAGCTTTCAAGATTCAGTTCAAGTGGCTCTTATTGGTCATGCTAAATAGAGAGCTTGTGGCTTTGAAGATCTCCAGTCATTGTTCATACTACACATATGAAGCTTATTTGCTGTATTGTTTCATGGCTACCTGACCATAACATCCTAGAAGATATATTTACCTCTAGAGTCCCTTGTGGTGCTTTGTTCTGACATGTGCTTAATAAGACTTCCATTGAACTGGCTGTACTATTTTTCTAAACATATTATAAGAAGCTTATACTTCCAACAGTGTTGCAACTATTCTTATTTGCAATTATGGGAGTAAGCAAGAATAGAAAAATGGGCCGGCGCCGTGGCTCACTAGGCTAATCCTCCACCTAGCGGCGCCGGCACACCGGGTTCTAGTCCCCGTTGGGGCGCCGGATTCTGTCCCGGTTGCCCCTCTTCCAGGCCAGCTCTCTGCTGTGGCCAGGGAGTGCAGTGGAGGATGGCCCAAGTGCTTGAGACCAGGAAAAGCACCTGGCTCCTGGCTCCTGCCATCGGATCAGCGCGGTGCGCCGGCTGCAGCGTGCCAGCCGCGGCGGCCATTGGAGGGTGAACCAACGGCAAAGGAAGACCTTTCTCTCTGTCTCTCTCTCACTGTCCACTCTGCCTGTCAAAAAAAAAAAAAAAAAAAAAGGAATAGAAAAATAATTCAGGTAAATTAATCAAGTCATAAAGAGAGTTTTCTTAGGGATATAGATACTATTTAATAAAACAATTTAGGAACACAAGCTGAGCCCAAGCTGCCACTTCTTCCAATCTTACTGGATAAGCTTATATGTATGTGAAGTATAGTAAAAGAACAGCTATTGATAGGACAAATGAGAAAGAAAGTTGGGGTGGGGGCTGTTGGCTATGACAAGATTTGTGTACAGAGTCTGCCAGCACGAAGGCTACTTGGCTCTGAATCTCCCATTTTAACCTTGGACCCTGCTCTTACCCACTAACTATATGCTTACACAAAGTATTTGCAGCTCAGTTTTAATTAACTTCTCACGAAATTCAAGAGGTTCAAACTAAAGTAAAACTCTCTTAACTGATACCTGTTTAACTAATTTACTATATGCTTTTAAGAGTTGACTGTATTAGCTCTTAAATCTTTTTGTCAGTTATGCTTGTTATTGTACTTACATAACTCAATTAAATATTATCTTAAAGATGAAATGTGTATAGTAAATCAAAGTTGCTTCTAGGAAAACCAAATTGAATGTGCTTTGGAAAGATCAATGAAAGAGTTGCTAGACATATTTTTAACTAGATGTGGTAAGCCAATTATAAAAGACTAGGGAGAAATAAAAATCTGTCAGGATTATATAATGACATTGTTTCACAAGAGTTTATATTGACTCTTTAATGGCCCTATAACACAAGAATGGTGGAAAAAAAATAAAGTACGTGTATACAAAGGTTGTATGTATCTTTTTTCCCTGTTTAAAAAGGTTGTATGTTATCTTTTTTTATGCTTGGGTCCTGGTAGGTTTTTTTTTTTAACACTGTAGCTAATATTAATTCAGATTGCTTCAGGTTAAAGGGCTTCTTTTAAAGTCAATAAATGTCCTACTTAAGCAGATTTTATAGAAGTGTCACATCAAACTTCAGCTTTGGAGGTAAGGCACATGCATCATACCACACAATTTTTTTGATGACAAATTAACACAAAGATCACAGCCAATATGAGTAAAAACACAAAAATCTATTCTTAATAGCAAATATTCACTATTATTTTGCTGCTGTCTTTCATAAGGTATATGTATATCAACCTAAACTACTTCCACGATAAATTTGTCAGTCTACTATATTATACATTGTAAGTGACCACGAGAAAAACTAACCATGAGTTCCCCAAAAAATTAACATTAAGTTTTTGTTTTAAAGAAGGAAAGTTATTTTATTTTTCTTTTTGAAATGCATTTATCAGAAAGAAACAATTATCAAGTAAAAAATTTAAAATTCAAAATGATCAAATAGTTTGAGAAAGCAGTTTCTAAAGAGACTAAGAAGTTTTTGTAAAATTTCTTATTTGTATATTTTCTGAAAATTTATGATGAAGCAATCAGTGAATTTGTATGATGAAGCAATCAGTGAATTTGTTTAGTCTAGATATAACAGAAGATAATTTTAAATAAATGGTAAATATAAGCTATCATAATATATTAGTTCTGGTCTGGCAAATTATACTGCATGTTAACCAAGAAATGTTAATTTTACCAAATAAGCTTTATTTACAGTTACTCAGATTAATTACAATTGTTTCTGACCTAAAAATATTTTTCTATCACATTTTCTCATAAAAATACAAGTATAATATATATACTTTCCTTCTCTTTTATTACATCTTTTTTTAAAAAAGATTTTTTTTATTTTTATTACATTTTACAGGCACATCAAACAAGTCTTGCAAGGTGTTTTCAAACAACAAAAAACACTGAATAACTTAAATACAAAAGCTTTCCAATTACCAAAACATTTCTTTAATTGTAAACAAAATGTAAGATTCTATAAGCAGTTTTGATTAGGATGAATTATTTTGATGGAAAATTGATAACTAATTTCTCAAAGGTTACAAAAATGTACACTGGCAATTTTTAGTTCTTTTTCCCTTCAAATACAACATTCTCATTAGTGGAAAAAGAAAAGGAAAATGCATAAACTGGATAAAATGCATTAGTGTCTTTAAAATGCAAGAAAAGTAGCTCTGGCATCTGAATATAAAGTGAGTAAAACTGACTCTCTAGCTTATAAACAGTTATTTTCTGAAAAAAAAAAAGAAAAGAAAAAAAAGAAAAAAAAGAAAAAATTTCTCAAAATTTGTATACCATAAAGTATTACATGTACTTTCAAATATTATATGTACATGTTGGGAATTTTCTAATTAGATGCAATAATTAAAATTAGCAAAGAAATAACTTAATATGCCTTCACATGCTAAATAAGAAAAATAAGGTAATTGCCATATAAATGATATGATTCACATTTTATCATCTGATCAAGACTAAGTACAAAGAAAAACTTTGATTCCCAGTAGAAAACAAATGTCCTCACTTCTTTTACAACTGTAAAGAAAATGGAAACCAATATATATATTTTTGCATAATTATACAGAAGCTTATGTAAAGGTTTCAATGTTTTTACACTATGTAATTAAATGCTACTAAAATAATAGCTGACAAGCTAAGTCTTGTTCCTTTCTTATGCCTTTAACAGTAACAGTAGTTCAAACTAAAGAGTATTTTTTCCACTTTTTCTTGTATCTTGGAATTCTAAAAGCATTAAGAGATAATTATAGGAATGGATACCTAACTGCAAGAACTATTCTAAATTAGGCTTAACTTGTGAAAACACCATTTGATTCAATGAACATTATAAAGTACCCACTGTATATCAGCATTCAGACAGCAGATATGTGCATAAATTATTTCATGAATAATTAAAAATGAAAGCATCTAACATTATATGAAAGAAGTACATTTTACCTGAATTAGATGAGGCAAGGCTTTTAGTGTAAGGCAAAACCAAATTCCCAGCTTACATGGAAGCAAATCATGCCACTGTGGTTTCATCAGCAAACTACGGGGATGGAGGAGAAATTATTGAAATAAGGAGACAAAGTGTTTATTTTAAAAGATCATGGATTATTTTTGAGTGCATTTTTCAACAAAAAATGAAGGTGTTCAATGAAATATTTATGACAGTTATGACTTCATCTGACTTATTCTATTGTGACATGTAGTAGTTACAACAAATGCAACATGTATTGTAAGAATCTAGGCTAAGGTTTTGGGGAAGAGACGCCTAATGAAGTTACAGAGATAAAGAAACAAAGCTCTCTTTCCAACCTGGTCCTTTCATCACTTCTGCAAAATGGATTCTTAGGCCTTATGATTACTTCAGCTATAAAAGACTAACCACCGTCAGAGGGTTTCTAAGTGCTGACAACCAGATATGAAGACTGCAGCATAAACAAACCAATACATAAAAATTAATGTCATTTGCAGTTCACTGAAGCATTACTCACTGATGTCATCAGAACAGAAGACAGGCAGAATAGTCTCTGATTTCCATCCCACATTGATCCAGTTCATGCCCTGCTGGGTGAACTATTTAAACTCTTTATTTCTTTCTATGAATCAATAGAAGAAATGGTGGTATCTTTTTGAGTGTATTGCATCTCACTGTCTCTCTACATAATGCTACTTCCAAGCTAAGTGTTAAGATTTTTCCAGTGATAACCTTGTTTCTAAAGTTCAGTACAAAAAATCAAAGCTGCACAAATTTGAGAATTTCATTATTTAAATATAAATTAATAATTTATAAAGAGAAAAACTTGTAGGAATTTTGCTTATAAACTATGATACTGTCTTATAAACTATGACACATTAGTCTTTTATAGACCTATCATAGAAGTAAATGAGTATATCTGAAATGCATATACAGATGAAACTGAATCATATTAAAGACTCTTTAAAAACAGCTTTGAATTACAAAATATCTTTATATGCTTCTACCTTTCATTTTTTTCAGGAGCACCAAGTTTTGATACATCCACATTCTTGCCGCCAGTCTTTTTTTTCTTTTCTCTCCTTTTTCTACTAAGCAGTTTGTCCTGAATGTATAAGAATTATGGTTACAGGTTATCATTAATATACATTCTTCAAATGTTATCAAGACTCTGCTGTGAAGAGTAAATATTATGGAGGAACATTTATGCAAATATATGTAGGGTCCAACATGATTAAGGAAAATCATCAATCTTTCACAATAACTGTTGCCATGGTATCCAGGCCTTAAACACACATGAAGTTCAGCACTGTCAGTCATGTGCATCTCCATAGCAATCAAAGTTTTCTAAGAAGAGAAAGCATTCAACTTACTTTTTTTCATTCATGCAACTTTAATAATGTCACTTCAAAAGGAATAAGTAAATAGATGCTAATTTATGAAAACTGACAAATATGTTTCATTATCTTTAGCACATAAAGAAAATCCATAGCAGGATAAACTATATAGTAGAATATCAGACTAAGAAAAATGTAGTAATTTTTTAACAAACTGATCTTTGAAGTTATAAAATTATGTTCATTTCAAATCTTTTTAGTTAATATGTTTTTTAAAGCAAAGTCATCATATAAAGGTCCTTGACCCAAAAAAATTTCAGAATCCATCTTACATTAAAAATATATTTACTTGGACAGTGAAAATTAAGAAAATATGGCTCTACTTTCTAAGAGATATCTGGGCCTTCCCAAAGTTTTATAATAAACTCAAGTGTTACATTCTTAAAAGAAGGATTTTTTTTCTTATTTTGTGGATTCTTCTTGACTTACAAATATGTCAAACATTAAATGTTGAATAGAAAACTATTAGAATTAAAAACCCATGTAGGAAAAGCTCTCATCACTTGAAAAATGTCTAAAATTTCATATAAAATTAAGCAGGCCAGATCATTTTATTTATTTCCAGTACTTACCAGTTGTTTTTCCAGGTAGATTGACCAAACCACAGCATAGTGACCCACTGTGAGAATAATGAACAAGAGTAATGCCAGCTCAGCATTGCTCATTTTTCTCACCCGCCTGTAGTAGAATACAGGCTGTCGCCAATCTGGAAGTCCATTGATCAGAATATCATCATACCTACAGCAGCAAATATAACAGTTTTTCATGGGAAGTTTAAAATAAAAACAAAAACCTTTATTTGTACCCATATTTAGAAAGAAGAAAGAGAAAAATCATTTCTCCAAGTCATTTATGTAGACTATCAGCACTATACTGTCTGGCTCATGTAAATTCAAGGCACTGTATATAAATCCAGTCACTGACAACCTTCAGAAATGTGGATGGTCATAAACTGCAGATACCAGATCTCGGATCTTTTCTGTAGCATCCAATGATGTGACTCCTGGAATGGCATCTAACATCAAGAGGCTACATGTATCTACCCATCTACTACAGTTTGGTAAAGACCCCACCATAGAATCCAGCAACAAAAAGGACTCTGGTAGGAGAAAAAGTTACTTGCTACCATGAACTGCAAATTAATTTAATCAAATTTAGGAGAAATTTTCAAGTCAGTGCTTTTATTTCTCACCCTTAACTATAATGGCTCAAGGCTGAAATATTCATATACACTATTTTATCAAAGCTTTTTAATGAGGTAAAAACCTATAAAATGCGAATCTTAATTTTCTATTACCCACATTTTTGTTTTCAAAAATAAAAAAATTCCCAAATTAGGAAGAGATCTGGAAGCAACCAATGTTTATGTCAGACTTCTAACAAAACTGTTTATTTGTAAACAGTTAAATGGCAATTTCCTCATATTTGGCTTTAGTTGGAAGGGAACATTCACAGGCAAACAATTTCCCCCTAGTAATCAGCTTTCTTTGTACCATCAGTTTAAAAAAAGTTACTTTAAAATTTCAACTGAATTTAAATTTACCTGTCAGACTGTTACCAAGGCAAACATTTTTAAAGCTAAAAATAAGGAGTAACATTTATGATCCTGAAACTCAAAATGGTCACACACAAACATTGTATGTTCAACACACACAACCTGTTAATCTTAATTGAACACAACTCATTAAATATTCTAATCACACTATTTCCAGAATTAAACCTCCACTGAAAGGCCTAATTTGGTGCAACACATTGACCAAAATATTTTAATTAAAAATATTCTGAGTTAGTCGCAGTCCTAATTACGGGAATAGAAATAGGGCCTATATTGTCAGGCAGGTCAGTAGAACTCAGTAGTAGGTTTTTCTCAAGTAAATTGACCGATCTAAGAATAATAGCGCAGCTGCTAAACTGCCAGTCTTGACATGTAAATCAATTTAAATGCAACAACTGCAGTAGCTACTCTGATAGTTATTAAATTGATACCTTAGAGATATGCTTAAAAAAATAAAGCTGAGGATTTATTACCAGCAACTTTTTCTTTAGGTAGAAAAACACTGTTTATTAAAGCAAAATACATTTTTTATTGGCCAATCTAGAAAACCTGATTTTTACATCAACTTAGATTGTTAATACTTACCAGATCAGAATAACCAATATTGAAAGCGAAGAATGTTAATTAGTATGAAACTCTTGAAAGGCAAACTATTATTACAATCCTAAGAGTATGAGATTAAAATGTGGTTGTATGGTGGCTGGACCAGACAGCATTTAATATTAAGTATTCTCATTTTTCAATATTTACAGAAGTCCTTAAATATTAACATCGAGATATACTGATGTGACTATTAGTCCTGTCCTCAAAAATTTGTTAAAATCTAGCTTGTAAAAATTGGCTTATTTAAAATGGATAGGTAAGAATGCTTAGACTGTCTTAACACAAGACTACAACACTTGAATGAGGGTCAATGAATATTAATTCCAGAATTTTTTTCTAAATCCATATTTTGCTTCAGCTTTGTGGAGGGGTAAAAGGTATATATAAATATCATTATTTTCAGCAAATCTCTCACATCAATAACAATGCAAAAATCATGATTATTAGTAAAGAACATCTAAGAAAGTGGAGATAATTCCCTATTAGCAATAGTATTACATTTGTTTTAGATCCAAACCACATTGGAAGAAAACACAGTTGAACTCAAAGCTAAGAGTCTCACACCAAGTATTTTATCACCATTCTTGCTGAAAATGTTATTTGTTAACAGCTACTATTTTTAACCCCACACATAAATTGTATTCAGTGCACAACCAAATTCAAGATAGTAAAACCTCATGTACTGAACACATTAAACACAACGAGATGTTTACTAGGCTATGCCTGCCACTCGAAACAACAGTTTCCAAAGATTAAGCTTAGAATCAATGCTGTATTGATTTTACTATCAGTGAACAATATGGCTCACATGAATGGCCATTTTAAGGGAAGACAGCTTCTTATTATAGTTCACTTTTTAGAATATGTGCTTTTAAAGATAAATCACCACTTTTCTGATGAAGAACTAAAAGATAAATACATTTCTTATAATATACAGACAATATTTTCCTTGGTTATTTAAGAGGAAACATTATGTTGACAAAACAAAATTTAAAATATCTCTTCATTATGCTTTTCCATATGTAAACACACAGCACTATTAAAATGCTCTGCAATAAGTCTGATAAACATGCTCTAAATTAAGTCATATTAAAAGAAATTAAAAAGTAAAACTATAGTAAAAATATCACTACTGCAAAAAAATGTAACCACATAAACATTTTCTTGACATTAAAACATTAATTGATCAATTCCACATATCCAATGATGGCCTTACTTTAAGTTTACTTCATTTGATTCTCTTAAAGTATACATGCTGAATATAAAATAATAGTTACATAAAAACTAATGAGGTCCCATACTAAAATTTGAAATTTATCAACCATATTTAGCCCAATATAAACATCCAGTGTCTCCCAAAACAAATAACTTAATGTTTAAATGTTTATGGAAATTTAAAGTATTAGCATATTTTGAAATATAAAATTGTATATATGGAAGCAGTAATTAAGTAACTAAAAGATTTATATATTCTAAAAATAAATAAATAAATAATTCTAGAATTTGTCTTAATTGTGAATTTTCTTGCATAGAAGGCTTGAATGTTTACCTTAAAATAGTAACATAATTTATATTTAAGATATATTTTGAAACTTCGAGTAAAAATTCACATACAAAAATCATAAACAGAAAACAGATCTAAATTAACTGAGCCCACTTTTGTTTAAAAAAAAAAAAAAAAAAAGTCCTCTGGGGGCCGGCACCATGGCTCACTTGGTTAATCCTCTGCCTGCAGTGCCAGCATCCCATATGGGCGCTGGTTCTAGTCCCAGTTGCTCCTCTTCCAGGCCAGCTCTCTGCTGTGGCCCGGGAGGGCAGTGGAGGATGGCCCAAGTGCTTGGGCTCCTGCATCCACATGGGAGACCAGGGGGAAGCACCTGGCTCCTGGCTTTGGATCGAATTAGTGCCGGCTGTAGCAGCCATTTGGGGGATGAACCAATGGAAGGAAGACCTTTCTCTGTCTCTCTCTCTAACTCTACCAATCAAATTAAAAAAAATTCCCTTTTTTAGTATATAGTATTTTATATTGTGTCTAATAGATATCTTATACCTTCTAATTAGGAAAGGTGCTAAAACAGATTTCTTATTCTCACATTAATGTTAATTTTGATTCAAACACACCTGTAATCAAATATAAAAACTAGGTAGGGGATTTATACATTTTACAGATAGAGGCTAAGATAACCATCCTTTTAACTGCATTTGTAAGTAAAACACAATTTTACTTAGTAAACTAAAAATATATTCAGATTTTATTAACACTAATATAATATAGATGAAAACATTAAAAAGTTGCACAGTTGTTTTAGCAAGAGAATACTGCTTGGAATTTTCTAACATTTTAAACAAAGGTAGATGGTAATCTTACTAAAAATCTACTGTACATATGTAACAATGGTACTCAGTTCTTTTGCTAAAACTCACAGAACTTGTACAGAAATTTATGTTGGAACATAACTGGACTGCTGTTTAATGGAATAAGAAAGATAACTAAGAATTTTATAAAGACTGCTTTGCTTGGCTTTCTTCCACTAATCATGCTATTCTATGACATGGATGGTACGGGGGGAGGCTTAAAAGTTTGTTCATAATTGCATTCCTAGTAATTTACCCAAGAATTGAAAGCTCTTCCTAGAAAAAAAAATAAAAAAACTTAAAAAAACAAAACAAAACAAAAAGAAAGCTGATCCACACAAATATAGCAGCATTATTCATCATCACCAAAAAATGGAAACAATCCATATACCCATCAGCTGGTGAATGGATAAACAAAAGTGGCATATACATACAATGAAATAGCATTCAGGCCAGCGCCGCAGCTCACTAGGCTAATCCTCCGCCTTGCAGCGCCGGCACACCGGGTTCTAGTCCCGGTCAGGGCACCGGATTCTGTCCCGGTTGCCCCTCTTCCAGGCCAGCTCTCTGCTGTGGCCAGGGAGTGCAGTGGAGGATGGCCCAAGTGCTTGGGCCCTGCACCCCATGGGAGACCAGGAGAAGCACCTGGCTCCTGCCATCGGATCAGCGCGGTGCGCCGGCCGCAGCGTGCCAGCCGCGGTGGCCATTGGAGGGTGAACCAACGGCAAAGGAAGACCTTTCTCTCTGTCTCTCTCACTGTCCACTCTGCCTGTCAAAAAAAAAAAAGAAAAAAAAAGAAAAAAAAATAGCATTCAGCAAGGAAAAGGAATACCGGAATATGCTAATATGGGTGAACCTCAAAAACATTGTTACTAGAAAGAAGCCAGATGCAAAAGAATAAATACCCTATGATTTCATTTACATGAAATGTACACAAAAGACAATCTCACAAGCACGTAAAATACAGTAGTGGTTGCCTGGGACTGGATATCAGAATGGAAACCACTTATAAATCGGCTTCAGGGAATTTTTTGAAATGATTGAAATGTTCTAAAACTAACTTGTGGTGATGTTTTGAAAAACTGTAAATTTACTAAAAATTACTGAGTTTTACACTTAAAACAGATGACTTTTATAAGTTACACGTAAATAAAGCTGTTCAGGAGCTGGGCTTGTGGTGCAACAGGTTAAGCAGCTGTCTGTAATGCAGGCATCCCATATAAGTGCCCATCTGAGTCACTGCTGCTCCACTTTCAATTCAGCTGCCTGCTATTGTGCCTGTGAAAGCAGTAGAAGATGCTGCAAACACTTGGGCCCCAGCACCCACGTGGGAGATCCGGATGGAGTTCCAGGCTCCTGGCCTCAGCCTGGCCTAGCCCTAGCTGTTGAGGCCATCTGCGGAGTGAGGCAGCAGATGGAAGACCTCTCTTTCTCTCTTTCGGTCTCCACATCCTCCTCCCCCCTTCAACTCTGCTTCAAATAAATGATTAAATCCTTTTTCATAAGAGCAACTTAAAAATAAAAGGACTTTTCTCTACAAAAAGTTATCTAGTTTATTAATTTATTTATTCCTTTGTTCTTCCCCTTTCCAGCAAACTTTCAATAATAAATCCGATTTCAGAGAAAACAGTTAATTATACGTGGGAAAAAACAGGAAACATTTCTATGACAATTTTCCAAAATATAAAGTCCTAGCCGGCGCCACGGCTCAATAGGCTAATCCTCCACCTAGCGGTGCCGGCATACCGGGTTCTAGTCCCGGTCGGGGCGCCGGATTCTTTCCCAGTTGCCCCTCTTCCAGTCAGCTCTCTGCTGTGGCCCAGGAAGACAGTGGAGGATGGCCCAAGTGCCTGGGCCCTGCACCCCATGGGAGACCAGGAGAAGCACCTGGCTCCTGGCTTCGGATCAGCGCGGTGCGCCGCAGCGCGCCAGCCATGGCGGCCACTGGAGGGTGAACCAAGGGCAGAAAGGAAGACCTTTCTCTCTGTCTCTCTCACTATCCACTCTGTCAAAAAAACAAAAACAAAAACAAAGTCCTGTAAAGTTACACATTTAAAAGCACCCACTCAAAAAAGAAAAAATAATTGTGATACCAAAAAGCATTTTTCATACCAATATGAGACAATCTTTTTTTAGAAGATAGAGCTGACTGTGCACTTTTTGTTTCCCTAAAGGAATTAAAAACATTAGGTAATAGTCTGCAGAGATGCCTTTCTCCTATAAGTTTAAATACTCACAGGTCACTTGGCCTCAGGCACAAGCTTTAGAGAAATGATTCTCAGCTTGATTAGTTAAGACTTTTGCCTCAAGGAAAACCAGTTACCAAAGAGTTATTTGTGCCTCAAGGGGCATAAATACTACAGCTGTTTGTTTAACTGTCAGATCCATTTTTTCTATCAACACTCTAAAACAAATGCAGAAGGCCTACTCCTAAAGAAATAATGTTAGATGAGTAGGTTAATGAAGAAACAATGTATACAGAGAGAGTGATTTGTTCTGAAAAGAGAAATAATTTTCGTATTTGAAAGAAACTGTTACACAGTTTACTGACTTTAAGACAACAAACTAAAAGAAAAAAAACTGATGGCAAAGAAGTTGGAAGACATATTAAAGCTATTTTTATAGACACATTCTTGATATATAAAACAAAACTAGGGCCTCACTGAGAGAAGCCAACTAGAAAATATGCACAGAATGACCAACGCTTCTTTCAATGCACTTCCAGGTCCCTTTCAACACTATAGATTATCTCAAAGTAGAGGAATGTCGGCTATGATACCTGGACCAATGCCAGCCCCTGTTATAAAGCAAATAAGACAATATGCTGAATCCTCGCTTGCAATCTGACAAACCGAGATATTCGAATTATAGACTAAAGATGAGAACCAAGAGTGCTAGTTAACAATTTAGAATATAGAGTAATTACAGATGATACACTAGAAGAAAGACTGAGACTATCAAATAGTATAACTTGGGGGGCTGTGTTAGCCTTATATATAGAGAGACAGATATTTAGGTTGCCTTGAGCTTAAGTCTCAAAAAATCTGTTTTTTTTGTTGTTGGTTTTTTTTGTTTGTTTGTTTTTGTTTTTTAAGCTACTGTTACTACAGAACAACTTCTTAGATTTCCTATTGTGGTCCACTAGTGTTTCATGAAATCAATTTAGGGGACCACACTGACATTGTTTGAAAAAAAAAAAAGACCAACTTAGAACAGAAAATATCAGTCCATTTCACATGCAGTAAGAAGTGTTTTGTGACACTTTCGTTTTAGTTGTGTGTGCTCATGTCCAAAATATATTTCATACTGTGGGTCTAATTTAAAAACAAAAACAAAAACAAAAAAAACTTTGAAGCCCATTGCAGTCAGCTATCTCTATATTCCACTCATTCGACAGTGAAGGAAATGGGTATCTCTGAGATGGCCTCCTAATATAAACCATGATATACATACATTACTACTCTTCTGAAAGGGGCACAGATAATTCTCAGAGGGAGGGATTGCCTCAACTAGAAGTTTAACTCTGAGCGCAAAATTTAAAATGCAGGTTAAAATGCAGAGGAAAGGAGGAGGAGGAGGTATACAAAACAAGATAAAGAAGCAGATATTTTTCTTCTACCCCTATCTTCTACAAGCTTATCCACTCACAAATTGGGTTTATTAAGAATGAAAAAACATAAAAAAGAATACTAACCTATTACTACAGCTTAATTTCAAACATTTAAGGAAAAAAAAAAGACTACTAAGCACAGATAGGAATAATTACTGACATATCAAAAGGAACAGACATTTGTTTGAAGTCAAGTGGTATTTGTATTTCCTAGAGCATAAACACTCATGCTTAAAATTTTCCCTCAGGAAGCCCGGCCTTTTAATAACATTACCACTCATGATCCTGCAATCTGTAAGTACTGAATCGGCTAGTGAATCTTTTCAATAGAAATTAATTCTGCTCTAAACATACATTTTAAAAACATTTCATTTGTTGAAAGGAATAAAACACTAACTTAATAAAATGTTTAATGAGACTTAATTATTTTTAAATTGTCACATGAAAATACAACATCTTAACTCAAAAGCAGAAACACTCACCTCTGTCTTCTTTCATCATCCTTTAAAACTTCATAAATGGCCACCAACTAAAATAAAAGCATTACTTAAAAATAAAAATATTCTCAAGATTAAGGAGTGAAGGCACTATAATGCACATGCAGAAAACTATTTGCCCAGACACAATAATCAGATTAAAATATTAATTATCAGTAACACTTTTGTCAGTACATCACAAGGTTAAAAGATGCTTGGTATCAAAAAAAATCTTATGAAAGATGCAAAAGTAATAGTCTATCTTTAAATGTGAATTTAAAAGTAGAAACCATAATATAGAAAAGATAATTATGACAACTATGGCCTTCCAAGAATTTAGAGATTCTAATATAAAATGTTGGCAGAAACATATTTCAATAAATTGAATTAAATATGTACACTATAGTTTTGAACTAATTCATTTTCAAATAGGAATATTCTACATATAAGTTAATATTTCTATAATGCACATATTTATTAATACACTTGACACAGAATGTGTAGAACACTATATTTCACTTACTTGTCTAAACTGAGTTTCTGCATTTTCATCTTTATTCTTGTCTGGATGTAAAGTTAGTGAAAGCTTACGATATGCTTTTCTGATGTCTGCAGATGAAGCATCCTGGAGGTAGTAGGGGGAGGGGAGAAATACAAAGCAACTTTGTCAGAAAAAGAAATTCCCAGAACCTTGTTAAGATCTGAGAAGACAGCCAACCAAGTGCAGGACCCCAGGCAATGTAATTTGAGCAATCAGTCTAACAACCAGCCTATGCAACTAGCCTGACCCACATGACTGAACAATTATTCAATCTAATTTGGCTCGCCTCTTAACTTTTCATTACCATACAGTCATTTACAGAAGACAGTATTTGGCAAAACTTTTCAAGCACTTGCCTTCCTAAAATTAACCAATAAATCTTTTTCAGTAATTAAGAGATCAAAAAGAAACAAATTAAAAATTAATACATCTGTGTACTTTCAAAGACAGTCTTTATTTATTTGAGAACCTTAAAGCCAATTTTTGAGTCCCAGGCTTGCCATATGTAGTTCCTTTATTGTTATTTACATTGAATTTATCACCCAGAAACAATCTATGGCATCTCAATTTCACATATCAAAAAGCACGTCGAGGGGCCCATACTGAGGCATAGTGGGTAAAGCAGCTGCCTGCATATGGGTGCCAGTTAGAGATCTGGCTGCTCCACTTCCAATACAGCTCCCTGCCACTGCTTGGGAAAGCAGTAGAAGATGGCCCATGCGCTTGGACCCCTGCACCTGCATGGGAGTCCTGGAAGAATCTCCTGGCCTTGGATCAGCCCAGCTCCGGCCATTGCATCCATCTGGGGAGTGAACCAGTGGACAGAATACCTCTCTCTTTCTGACTCTGCCTTTCTGTGACTCTGCCTTTCAAATAAATAAATAATAAATCTTTTTTTTAAAAAAAAGCATGCCAATTTGAAGGCACTTCAACTTGCATTTATGCAAAATCATTATAATTAAAATATGTATATTGTAGTCAACTCTTTTTAGTACTTGTGTGACATAATTTTATATATTTTTTTAAAAATCTATTTAAAATGTTAAATACATGCACGTTAAATATATAAATATATATCAGTATAAAAATTACATTGTCTATAATCAGATAACATAATCCCATAGTCAGTATAAAATGCATGACAATAACATCACACTGTCAAGCTGTCATTTAAAACTTTACCTCTACTGAGTTTAAAAGACATTCCAAGGGCAGCTGTTTCAGGCAGTGATGAAGCCACTGCTTGGGACTGCTGCTTAGGACATCCACATCCCATATATCAGGGTGCTTGGGTTTGAGTTGAGACTATACTCTACATTCCAGCTTCTTGAAAATGAACACCCTGGAAGGTAGCAGTGACTGCTCAAGTAGCTGGGTCCCTACCATTCATTCAGTGAGAGATCTGAACTTAGATTCTGGCTCCTGGCTTTGACCTGGCCCAGCCCTGTTCAGTGAGGGTATTTGGGGAGGGAACCAGTGGATTGAAGATTTACCTTTTCTCTCTGCTTCCACTCTATCCATTATTCTACTTTTTAAATAAATATAAGTATTTATTTATTTGAAAGGCAGTGTTACATAGACATAGACACACACACACAAACACACACAGAATCTTCATTCACTGGTTAACTCCCCAACTCCGCAACAGCAAGGGCTACACAAGGCTGAAGCCAGTAGCCTGAAACTCTCTCCTGGTCATTTGGAAAATTCTTAAATATGTAGAAGTTAAGCAACAGATTCTTTTTTAATGAAAAAAAAATTATCTATTTTCATTTATTTTAAAGACACAGAGAGGCCGGCGCCGCGGCTCACTAGGCTAATCCTCCGCCTAGCGGCGCCGGCACACCGGGTTCTAGTCCTGGTCGGGGCGCCGGATTCTGTCCCGGTTGCCCCTCTTCCAGGCCAGCCCTCTGCTGTGGCCCGGAAGTGCAGTGGAGGATGGCCCAGGTGCTTGGGCCCTGCACCCCATGGGAGACCAGGAAAAGCACCTGGCTCCTGGCTCCTGCCATCGGATCAGCGCGGTGCGCCGGCCGCATCGCACTGGCCGCGGCGGCCATTGGAGGGTGAACCAACGGCAAAGGAAGACCTTTCTCTCTGTCTCTCTCTCACTGTCCACTCTGCCTGTCAAAAAAATAAAAAAAAAAAAAAAATAAATAAAGACACAGAGAAACCAGGAACTCATTCCGTGTCTCCCATGTGGGTGACAGGGATCCAGGTACTTTTGCTATCACCTGCTGCCTCTCAGGGTGTGCATTAGTAGGAAGCTGAAGTCAGAAACAAGTCAAAATTTGAACCTAGACACTCCAATATGGGATGCAGGCATCCCAAGCATTTCCAAGCAGTAGCTTGACTGCTGTGCCAAACATCTGCCCAAACAAGACTCTTAAACAACCAACAAGTCAAAGAAGAGATCAAAAAGAGAATTAGAAAATACTGTAAAAAGAAGCCATTTAATCTAGGGGTTATGATGCTCACATCCCACATCAGAGTATGTGGGTTTGATCCCTGCTCTATTGCTAACACAGATCCTGGGAACTTGAGCTAACAAGTAACTGGGTTGTTGCCTTCCATGTGGAGACCGGGATTCAATTCCCATCTCCTGGCTTTGGCTTGCTCTCTGCAAAATATTGTATGTGGCCAGCATTGTGGCATAGCAGGTAAAGCTGCCACCTGCAATGCCAGCTTCACATATGGCCCCCAGTTCTGGTCCTGGCTACCCAACTTCTGCTCTGGCTCCTTGCTATGCATCTGGGAAAGCAGCAGCAGATGGCCCAAGTGCTTGGGCCCCTGGCACCCGTATGGGAGACCCAGAAGAAGTTCCGGGTTCCTGGCTTTGGCCTGGCCCAGCCCTAGCTGTTGTGACCATTTGTGGAGTCAAACAGCGGATGGAAGCTCTCTCTCTCTCTCTCCTGTCATGTTCTAACTCTTTCATATAGATAAGTACATCTTTACAAAAGAAATAAAAATATTGTGAATAGGAATGAAAAACAGCATTATGCTGTCTACCTATACAGTTAACTGTAGGGGCCAGCAACGTGACTCAGTAGGTTAATCCTCCACCTGAGGCACTGGCATCCCATATGGGGGCTGGTTCTAGACCCAGCTGTCCCTTTTCTAATCCAGCTCTCTGCTCTGGCCTGGGAAAGCAAGACAAATGCTTGGGCCCCTGCACCCTCATGGGAGACCGGGAAGAAGTATCTGGCTCCTGGCTTTGGATTGGCACAGCTACAGCCATAGCGGCCATTTGGGGAATGAACCAATGGAAGGAAGACCTTTCTGTATCTCCCTCTGTAACTCTCTCAAATAAATAAATAAATAAAATCTTTAAAAAAAAAAAGTTAACCGTATTTGCTAGAAGATCATACTAAGTGACAGGCCAGAAAACTGTTCCAGGAGTAAAGCTGAAAAGCTTTAGAGAAATTTTTCCCACTATGTTTAGAATGTTTGAGACTAACATAAAAAAAGGCTATAAAAAATCAGGAATTGATCTTCTGTTAAGTATCACTTTTGGTTCATAACTTCTGGAAGATTTTAATGTTTAACTCATTAATCTTTATATCTACTTTTCTAATTTATAAAGATTAACAATTTAGCAAGAAAATTATGATTTTTAAAACTGTTTTATTGGGGCTGGCACTGGGGCACAGCAGGTTAAGCCACCGTCTGCAGCCCTGGCATTACATATGGGCACCTGTTCACATCCTGGCTGCTCCACTTCCTATCCAGCTCCCTGCTAATGTGCCTGGGAAAGCACTGGAGGATGCCCCAAAGTGCTCTAGCCCCTAAACTCACATGGGAGACCTGGAGGAAGCTCCTAGCTCTGGGCTCTTGCCTGGCCCAGACATGCTTGTTGCTATCTGGGGAATGAACCAGTGGACTGAAGATCTCTCTCCTCTCTGTTTCTCCCTCTCTTGCTGTAACTCTGATTTTTCAAGTAATCTTTCAAAAATTGTTTTATTAATATAAAAAGAAATGATTTTTAAGTCAAAAAGAAATCACTAGAATTAGAAAATACTTTGATATGAATGGAATTATAACATGCCAAAACTTAGGATGCAGTGGTCAGAAGGAAATTTACAGCTATAAACACTTGTATTAAAAAAAAAAAGTTTCAAACTAACTTTCTACCTTAGGGAAACAGAAAAAAAACAAATTAAACTCAAAGCAAGTGGGAGAAAGGATACCATAAAAATAGAGAGCAGAAATAAATAAGATAAAATAGAAAAAGAGATAGCAAAACAGAAAGTTGGTTTACTGAAAATGTCAATAAGATCAACATATCTGTAGCTAGAGTGAGAAAAGTATGGTGGTGGGAATTCAAATTATAGTCACCATCACTTCACCATGTGGACACACTCTAATAGATATGCTGTTTGGTGATCTCATTGTTTGTGTGAACATCATGGAATGTACTTTCACAAACCTGAACGGCATAGCCTACTATACTACTGGACGATACGATACACACAATACAGCCTATTGCGCCTAGGGCCAAGATGAACAAACACCATGAGATTAAATTGAAATCCAGAGAAAATCATGCAATCATGAGATGCATGTGGCTGTTGCAAGTGTAACACAGTACTGTTTTATTAGAAAAAAAAAGTAGGAGTATACTCTAAAATAACTATGAAAAGTGTTGTATAGTCAATTCAGAAGGCAGTAACGGTCACTTATTATCATTATCCATTATTAAGTACTGTAGATAATTGTATATTATACACATTTATATAACAGAGTGCAGTAAGTTTGTTTACACCAGCATCACCACAAACACATGAGTAATGCATTGTGCTATGATAGAATGGATATAACATCAATAATGTGAATTTTTCATCTACATTATAATTTTATGGGTCCACTTGAAGTTATGTGGTCCACTTTTGACTGAAACATTGTTATGTTTGTGGTGCACAAATATACTAAAATCAGAAAAAATAAAATGACGTATTAGTACCATCCTGATAAAAAAAAAAATTAAGAGAATGTTATGAACAGAACCTGGTAAGCCTGTTTGTTGCAGAACATAGGAGGATGCTTCAGAAAGTTTGTGGAAAAGTGGATTTAAAAGGTAAGTTTATTTT